CACATATATGAGAAATTGTATACAAATGAGTTCAAGCGATAATTTTAATATCACAATGACTAATAATAAATTTGAATCGAACGAAGCCTAACTTGCTTTAAACTCGCACCCACTCTGTTATATACTGGTATACAAGGCTTAGTGACGGACTGGTGGCGTTTCGCCACTATAAGAGTACGAATCAGCTTCAAATCCCGATGTGTGAGCTAATGAGACCAAGGCGAGGCTGAATCTGCAGTTCCACATAAAGAAAACTTTTTGGGAAGCAAGGCTAAGAGAAATTAAATTGCCGTACGAGGGCTACTCAAAGCATTATTTAAAAACTCAAAGAGCAATACTTAAACTACTTTAAGCGACCTAGGGAGACTCAAATTATACATCCAATGATTAAAAATTATTGATAGTCTCACATACTAGTATGGAATAATAGTGCAATTTTAATTGTTGCCATTAGTGTAGGTTAAACACAAACTATACAAAATCATTAGGTTAATAAAGTCACCTGTAAAGTACTCAATATTAAGAAATTATATTATATATATTACGTAATAAAGGAATGGTTCTTTTGCTTTTCTATCTATGTCAACTCATAAAAAAACCTCCCATCTGTGCCATGATTAGTTAGAATTCCCGCTAAGTAAGGTCCCATCTTACGTCCATGTAACAATTAAAAAATGGGGAAAAATACACAGTTGAGCATAATTTAAGAGATCGAAGTATATTCCAACCTGATTCTCCAGCCTCACAGCCTGCCAGGACAGCAAGTGGGGCCGCAGAGACCTCTTTTAGCAAGAAAAACACTGATGTTGGTGAAATCTGGCCGGGTCTAGCCGAAATGAGCCAAGCATAAAAAAAGTGCAAGAGGTTAATCTGCACTCGTGAAGGAGAAACCACGTACGCAATAGGCTAAAATATATTGGAAGATGGATAAAAAGAGCAAGAATCTTGTTGATAGGATAAGGCAATAGTAGGATAATACATATAAGGTAGTTTTTAGATATAGTAAAACGGGTTTAGGAGAGTGATCTTCATTTGATGACCCCTCTTATTCAATTTGAATGTGAGAATTGGTGATAAACCTCGCTAGGGATGGGTGGACAATAGCTTGTCATCTAATGATAAGTCAAATGAGTAAGTCCACAGGTAGTCCTCTAGATATCATTATGTCCCGAAACATGTATGCTTTCCTCAAAAATTCCCTTCATAGCTTATTCAAAAAATAAATCAAAGTAGCCTGAGGTTGAAAGTGGAGACTCATAAAAGTAGGCGGACAGGGACAATTAAATATTTATTATTGCAATGCAATTCTAGATGCCTACAAAAAAGGCCCATGAGACCAATGTTCGTTGCTATATGAGTATAATTATAAAGTAAGGGAGCGAAGCAATAGTTTTTTCACATATTCGATGTATTAACTAAAGTTCATAAATAGAATTAATTGTTAAAGCAAAGTTAAAAAGAACCAAAAGGTAGCGAACATTCTTCACGCAATTTAACCACTAATGGAAGACCAATGGCATAAAAATGGGGCAGTAATGAGACTAGAGCTATAGAGTATAATGTTAACTAGTTATTACTACTTTAAGCAGGATACTTATTAATGAATGAAAATCCGGTTCCGATTTCACCTGTCTATTTTGAATCAATTGTTCCGGTGGTGGGTCAAAATAAGTTTCCTATATAAAGTGTTGCCCTAAGTAGAGATAATAATAAGTAAAATACTATATCTAAGAGATAAAAGGATTAAATAACAAACTAAAATACCGCAAGCACACAAAGCTAGTTGATGTGTCCTCATGTAGGTTGACAAAACCACAACTAAAAGCGCATTTTGGATAACGTGGATGGTCAAGTTTTAATATCACTATGTCCCTCAATCGTAGTCCGGAAATGCCCTTTAATCGAGGATATGCATTAAAAAACATTGGGATGAATAAAAAGTAGAGATGATTTCTTGAAAATATAAGAAGCAAAACACGTTAGCATTAGTGAATTAACAAATAAACTAACGTAATCAAAATTCAGTCTAGAAGCTACTTTATATCAGGCCTTAATAGTACATAAGTTAGTTTGCTTGTTACAAATCCTAAACTTTTCTCAATCATGCTCTGCCAAACAAGTTGCATGTTTTTTTAATATTTTGGGACCGGCCTATATGGTCACACTAACCATGTGATGAGAATGGTTTTATTTGATATATTTATGACTGTAGAAAAGGCAGGGTCATAGTAACGAGTGATCAAGGCAATTTTTTAGCTATTACTAAGGCCCAAAACTATTCTTTCTTCTCGTATTCGATAAATAACTCACAAGGCCGAATGCATCATAAATCTCAACAAGGTCATGTGCTGAGTCAATAAGTGATATCGTTAACAATAAATGTAAAATCCAGCCTAGTTGAGATATTTCATAAGCATTTTAATAAAAACTTCATGTGGCTCATTTCGTTTATCACGTATATAGACTGAATATAATGCCTGACCTAATGCTCATTTCCCATTATTTAATTTTACACAAAATTAATCGATTTATATAAAATTTGTTTGATTCAAGGCTCAGAGATTTAGCGTTTGACCCTAAATAAAGCTGAAGAGTTCGAGCAATGCAGGGAATAGCGTATATTAAATCATTTCGCAAAAGATGCGAGATAATTTTGTTTAATTTACATGCTTAAAATATGGTGCAGCATGATTAAAACGAGGCAAGATATTGCTTTAGCTGAGATACCTATAAGCATCCTATAATAGAAGGTTATCGCATAAAGTAGAATGATATTGTTGTAGGTAAAACAATATTACAATATATGTAAAGCAAGAAATTAGTAAATTTCTTTTATAAGAAATATTAAGCATTTTATAAATAATAACAAGCCCAAAGTTCGAAGTAAATGCGCGAGGCGCAGATATGGCACCACCAAAGGGACGAAATAATCAGAAGAAGATAGCACAAGTTCGACGACTTCAGCTAACCTTGCAAGACCGATCTGTCGAAATTCGAGTCTGATATCCAGCCATAACAAAGTTGACTGGAGGCCGCTTAACTACTTCGCGTAGACTGGGAAAGAAGGTTCGAGGTGGTAATAATGGGCCAGCATCCTTGGCATGTAAGGAAGTCTGAGTGTTGGGCAAGCCAGTCATCAGACGGAGTAAATTTAACTGTCTGGATAGAAGAGGTAGACCATCTGTCAAGGAAAAATAGGAGTGGAATAAGCGCACTTAAGAATTGAGACTTAATACTCGATGATGTTATCTTGCTCTATTTGCTTATATATCATAGATTTGCTCAATATTTTAATAGGAAATATTTTATCTATTAGCTAATGTAAATGTAATATGGGCAATTCAGTAATTATTTCCGATTCCTATGAATACACTGACCTGGAATATTCACAAAGCCTCGTTTAGACAGGCCCAGAGATGCAGAGGCTAATCGACTCCATATGTTGCATGCCGATTGTTGTCTGCCAGCTAAATTGCAGACATTTAGCTGAAATTCATACTTGTCATCTGAAGATGGTTTACCAAAACCATCTTCGTTGGTGCAGACGGGCGGAGTGAGGCACCAAAGTAGATGATGCCAGGAGGCCTGCTCAGCCACAATCACGGGCCAAGGGTTCTCGATAGACATCCCGGACGAATGCGAATTCTGTATCAAGTGGTAATAAATGTGCAAAGTTGCGTGGGTATAATGAAACTCATGCGTATTCGTTTATTTAGCATTATCATTCGTTTGCAAATTATTGTATGCTCAAATTTTCTTATCTCCTTTCACCATCGATCCTACAAAAGCACACCTATTTATCTACTTAAATAATGAGTGTCTAAAAGCCTTAGAAAAATAAATAAAATGACACCCAAGATTAACGCACAATAATAAGAGACTAGTCATATGAATTCTGGTTTATTTTATGGCCCTATAGAAAGAATTACTTAATCACCTGAAATCTCAAAAGCGTAAAAATGGAAAAAATGTAATTAATCAACCAAACTAATTTTGCAATGTAATTTAAGCGAGCCCTTATAAAATTTGCTGTAATGGTTACTAGCAAATTTTTGGTCAATTTTTCATGACATTTTGAACATTCAGCCAGGATGAAAAGTTCTATACCTTCGGGAACAGATCTAGAGATTCATGCTACCGACGCCTTCTAAAGGTAGCTGATCAAACATTAGCTCCTGATTGAATTTGGGATTACAATAATCATTTGAAAAACATTTTCCTATCTATCAAGGAATCATACAGTGGGTAGGTAGCTAGGTATGCTTTTGATAAAAGCAATTTGGAAATTACATCCAAAGGGTATATCAATATCTACATATATGTATGCATGCATGCATATATATATATAATACCCATATACTAAAAGAATAGTTAGTCATAACTACCAGTTATTTGATCGCGTTATATAATATATACATATATGATAATAAATTGTTAAGTTAATAACTTAATATGAACCAAAAGAACTTGCTCTTGAGGTCAGATTGAGTTCAGAGAGATGAGGCCAGCGTGTGAGACTGTCTGGCCAGGCGGCAGCTAGTGCTGTAAGGAGACTGAAAGGATGTTGCCGGCCAAGAGGCTCTAAAAGTCGACGGATGGAAGTCCTTACTCGATGTCGCTGACCAAGACATACAACACTCGGTAGCCGATTGAATGGTATAAATGAAGCTGAGAACACGAATAAGTAAGGGGAGTTATTCATAACAAACCTTCTTATTAATGGGCGGATTAATAGTATATAGCAATATAAATAATATAGTGATTTAGGGCTATACTACCGACAAATTGACAAGTTTTGAAAAGAAACTAAACTAAAGG